TCTAATCATACTTTTACATAGGTCTTTCTGAATTAATAAAACATTTATTATAATTAAAAATTTACTTCTTACCATTCATTCAACTTAATACCAAAAGACCCAAACAGTTCCGGGATTCTCTCACAAAATATATGTCAATTAATGCTTTACATATAAATCAAGCTAATAAATCCACCTGAAATGGGTTGGCCGTTCCAACGTGCCAAAACGCAATACATTGTTGGAACTGACATCACTTGCGCGCCCATACATGTCATGCCTGGTGGTGGTGACGGTGTGACAAAATAAAACTACCAATCCGAGTAGCATCAGTAGCAAACTCACAACATCAAAAACCCGCATTCCAATTTGGAAGAAAACCACCATCTCTCAACGTAATTCATTGGCCAAGAATTTCTAGGATGCATTTAGAATCACAACTAAAAATAACTGACTGACTGACTGCCTGACTAACTGATTGATTTAGCTCATTCGCTCCGTCCGTCACTGTCGTCGCACAGCAAGCAAGCGACACACATTTGGAATATTAATTTCGCGCGAAAAATCCCATAAAATCAATAAATAATTTTCTCAGCCAGTCATTAAATCAGAAGGCATTCATGGAGCTTGAATGAAAGAAGAGATTGTCAGGTCTGTGTAAATACCGTTTGAGATAAACGACGGAAGAGAATGCGTAGCAAATGGTGGGTTTGTCATCGCTGACGCTGTGCATTTGTAGGGAATGCAGATAACCATATGCAGATGCAATAACTCAAAGCATGGAATGGCATTTTAATGAAAACAGAAAGTGAGGGTGAGACTTTATAATTATGTAAAATTGTAAATCAAACGAGACAAAGAGTAGACACTTTACAATAATTTGTGTTTATATGAATATAGGCTACGAGCATGTGTCCGCTACTTTGTCAGCGGAGAGTCCATCTTAAAATACCAGATTCCGTCCGTCAGTTTGTGTTAGGACTTTTGAGTATCCAAAATGCACAATTTGTTTAATTTGACAAAATTTTTTAATCAAAACCTCATACATCCAAATGTTCTGTCCAAAACTTTTCTATATGTAAACCTTAGAAATCAACAGTGACTTCAATATAAAATTTCAGAATTTTAGCCTTACAAATGCCTTTTCGTACAAATATGGGATGCATTTTCAAACAAAAGTCAAGTTACAAATACAGATCTCATCAGCAATATGAACATCAAATTTACTGTACTCTATCAGTGACTCTCATTCCAAAATTCAATTCAAAATTCCAGCTCATTGCTTTTTATACCCACCACCTTGGAAAGGAAGGTATATTAACTTTGTCATTCATAATCGGCATAAAAGTAGATTTTACAATGTCCGTCTGTTGAAATCACGATACAGCCCACAACATTTGAAGTAGAGCGTCAAAATTTAGCAGAACAACTTGTATTGTTTCTAGGATAGTTGGTATTGGACATTTTATATATCGGTCCTCGTTTTGGTATAGCACTCATATAACGGTACCTACCGATATTTGGTATTTTGATGATTTTTGCCACATTTTCTAATGGAATTGTCTAAAAATTGGTATTTTTTGGTCATAATGGGTTCTATGGCGGAACATTGTACGTATAGGTCCACGTTTTGGTATAGCTCCCATATACATTGTATGTATAGGTCAACGTTTTGGTATAGTTCTCATATAGCGGTACCTTCCAATATTCAGTATTTTGATGACTTATGCCACATTTCTTCGCGGATTTGTCTAAAAATTGGTATTTGTGGGTCCTAATGGGCTCTAGCTCCGTTGGCAAAACATTGTATGTATAGGTCCACTTTTTTGTATAGCCATATAGCGATAACTCTCAATATTTTGTGGTTTTATATTTTTTGCCACATTTTCCCACGAATATGTCTAAAAATTGGTATTTGTGGGTCATAATGGGTTCTAATGTTTCCTTTACCCTAAGGTGGAGGGTATTATAAGTTCGGCTCGGTCGAACATTTTTTCTACTTGTTTCCAATAGAAAGTATTCAATTTCCAAAACCCCAGCTTTAGAGTGACCCTCGTGCAAGTTTCTTTGACTTCGCACTGCGTAACAGTCGCACCTACATTCAAATAAGTGTGAATATGGATCTTATCTAACCATCTGTACCTCCCCAACGTATATCCAACATTTCCATTGACAAGTATTCAAAAAAATTGTCCGGTTTTTTTAAACATTGCACAATCCTTTAGCCATAAAGTTGGAGAGCGTATATAATATTTGATAGGGACAAATTGTGCATTATTGAAATAAGGGTTTTAAACCCTCCTTGTCTCTTCGGACCAAATCCGTTTCAAAACATTTGAAGTTGATCTAGCGATGTCTGTCCGTCCGTCTATCTGTCTGGCTGGTGCGCACTATAACGCTCGAAGGGAGTATCCAATTCGGTCAAAACTTGGTACATTGGAATGTATTATCAAACATAGATCGAGTTCGGAGATGAGCAATATCTGGTACCTCCCCCCGAAAAGATCGAAAAATATTTTATTGCACAGTAAGTGGAAAGATAATCCGATTTTGCTTCAACTTTGCAAATCCAAATATTTGCTTCCATCAACACAAGATCTGTTATAAAAATCGGAACACTATATATCTGCGAAACCCTTCTGGTACCTCACCCGCAAAGGGTCACAATTTTCAACACTGTTATCTGTCATAACTTGCGAAACATGTCAACGATTCTTTACAACTAGCTATATCTAAACATTTCTCTCAACCAGAATCCTGAGATGAGTACGGAATTTTTGATTGTGCAGAGAATTGGATATAAATGTTGGATTTTCTTGTAATTTTACCAATATTTTTATCTGTATTGAATGAAGTATGACAAGTAAAAAAGCAGTAAGTTCGCCCGGGCCGAACTTTGAATACCCTCCACCATTTGAAAGGAATTTAGATATTAAAAAAACGTTGGAAAATACTGATAAAAACATAAAAATACCGAACATAAAGAGTGACATGCACAAGCAAGTTGTGTCATAAGCCATTAAAATATTCAACAAGGAAACTTGAAAAATTCCGGTGAATAATGTCGTAAAAGCATCAATATACCGAAAATAGGGAGGTGTCGATATATGGGGCTATACGAAGATCTGGACCTGCATAGACAATTTCATGTTACAGGCTAAAATATCGAATAATGGGAGGTACTGTTATATGGTGACTGTACCAAGTCGTGGACCCGCATAGTTATTTGTCTGTCATTGTTAGCAGAGAAATAAAAACACACAACCGGCCGGTTATAATGTATTTTTAAATCTCCGCTAACATTGGTCCTTCGAGCCGGATCAATCTAATAGGGCGAGAAAAGAATACGACCGCTTCGTTAGGGTGCTATTTCAATTCTGATTTTATTAAAGAATTTTTCTTACTTAAGTGCTAAACTAAACTAAACTATTCTGACTTAACCTAATCATAGACACACAATCTTTCTTATCTATTCTAATGGCACGCTAGGAGGGATCTTGTGTCCCAACACTTAAGTGCGTGCTACCTAATGAATGCATCTCTATCTATATGTGTGGACTTTATTGATCCTTTATTATCAGTGCACACAAATAGTTTTTATGGACGCTTGGAATTTCTAATCGTTAAAAATTGATTACTATCTGCGCTGTCGCAGAGCTACAAGGCCGCTGAATTGCATACATATTGTTTCTTTTTCTAATATTATTATTTTTAGACCGTTCAAAAATTAAGTCAAGCGATCACATGAGAATGTTTCTTAATCTTTTATCTATGTTTTCTGAACAGTCATAGACATTAGTACCAACAGTGAATAGAAAATACGAAATACCAAAACCTGGATTTATATAGCCCATTTTCTATGCCAAAAGTCCTGCAGACCAAACACACATTTGAGTAAAATTTTATCAACCTAATCCAATTCGATCAGTCGCTAGAGTGATTTTCACAGACGGAGAGACAGACTAACATTGAATCACACCACCATTGACACACATGCGAAATTTCAAGATATAGTCCGAACTTGGTCCATAAAAATGTTTTTATCAACATTATTTTAGGAGCGATAATGGAATATATTGCCGCAATGCTTCTTGTACCTCTTCTCAAAAGGTTAAAATTTTTAAAACCATTGAAATCAGTTTCAAGTTTTCTTCAAACACGTCATATTCCAAACGGAAAACTTTAGATTTTACACATTGCAATTTTTGTGCTAACATGAGATCTTATGTAAAGTTGGATATATAGGTCCGAACTTTTGCTACGCCCGCATAACCTACCATAAGCAAATGGTCACCGAAACCTTCTCAGGTTTTCCAAGTTATAGGAACGACAAAAATTTTTCCCACCCAAAATTCTTGAAGCAAAAACTTAGCAAAACCTCTGCGAAGCAAATACAATTTGTTGTCAGTTAACCATGCACAGAAATGAAGCAAAAATGCCGGTAGGCAAAAACAAATCAAATAAACATAGGCTGGCATACACACACTAACACAAATCCACCCAGAATACTACTCGTCAAATAGAAATATGCAGCAGCACCAGTCTGTCCCGCCATTTATAGCTCCGGTATCTGCTCGTAAATTCGTGGTCCAATACATTCACTTACGAAGTGGATTCGTAAATTGATTTAAATCTACAGAAATGTTTGTGTTGCTGTTGTTGTCATTTATCTAGTAGATTTATGGCATTTCATGGAACGTCAACGGGGCTCCTGGCCGGGTGCAAGGGTTTTGCAGGAAAATAGAAAAATAACACTCGGTTGTTAGTTAAATCGTATGTATCTCTGGAAAAAGAAAATCCATAATCTTCCTTCCCCCTTACGACATGGTAGAGGTAGCGTAGATAGATAGATATTAGTTGGGATGTGTTTCTTGGAGGGCTGGTGAGTGGATGACAGTAACCGTGTTGGTGCTGGATGATACTGACTAGATGGGACGAGAATGATGGGGGACACAACAACCGGAGTAGCTAGTCAATGTAATATTGATGGTGGCAATGGAGGAAAAATAAAAGCTGTATACCTTCACAATGTAAATTTTGCTGGATTGGATATTGGAAAAATCGAATGATTTTTTTATAATTTAATCTCCGAAGCACTAAATTTTATAAGGTTGTCGAAATATTAAATTATTCACAACTTTAACTTTTATTTTATTAATTATTATTTCACACACTTTTTTCCAATGAAGAAAACTCACTTCCTTTTTCTGTTTGCGTTTTCCTTTTTCCGACTTTAATTATTTGTTTTGTTTTTGTGATTGTTCTTTCATTTTCTTCTCATTTGTCTCAAGAGCTGTGACTATTTTTTTGTTTTCTGTCGCTTTGCACGTTTACAGAGGACAAATTTACGTCTGTTATGCCGGAAAATTTACAACAAATTAAAAAAGCTTTTCTTCATTCCACGAGACATGATGAGGTCTCAACGACACAATGGTCATGCCTTGGGACAGTGTTTTCTGCCCTCAAATTAACTTTTTATAAATTGTTTAACGATTTTCCAATAGACGTAAACTATTTTCAATGATTTCCCTCACTTTTATTTAATAATTTATTGATTTTATTTGCTAATTTTATTAATTTGCGTTGCAGGAAAACGCACAATCAATTTTTGCACTCAATAAATGTACACATTACAAGTGACACTACTCATCCGGAGCAACTGTGTGGAAATGGTTAATCTTTGTTTTTCTTTTGGTTAAATGTTGTAGCATATTTTAAGGCGGTATAAATCAACTGTGCAGAAGGAAATTATGAGCTTTTGGAATTAGGGTTTTTGTCAACAATAAGTAACATTAAACTGTACAAACAAAATATAGACATAACATACTTGCCATCTGTTAAAAATATATATTGAAAGTTGAGAACCAAAATAATGGGCCACATTTTTATTCCATTTTGAATTTGGCATTTTTTATGTTCAATGCCAGTTGGCTTACATTATTGACTCCTGGTATTATAACAATGGATTTTGAACTGGATTTGTAGAACGACAGTTTGTCCTATAAATGTGGATTTTTACGTAGACTTTTTAATGATAATTGGTCCTAAAATCTGGGGAGTTTTTATTAGATTGAAGCATCATGGGTCTAAAATCTTAGAAGCCTTAGTAGATGTTTTGAAGGATAATTGGTTTTATCTATCATTATTTTTTTCGTGAGGTGTTTTGAAGAACCAAGTGTTATAAAATCGTGGATTTTTTTAGGTAGATTATAAGTATATCTTTGAGGGATTTTCAGTTCAACAATCGAGGAGTTCTAAATAGATTACTTGAAGGATCATGGGTCCTATAATCATGGATTTTAAGAATTGTTTTGTAAGACCTTCGGACATATAATCATGGATTTTTAAAGTAGATATTTTAAATATATTAATATTAAAAGTTCTATGTTGAAAATAGATAACGATAGATTTACCAAAGGTCTTTCTGAAACTCGAACTGTATGTTCAACACACATATGCATTAGGTACCATTTGGTAGTATGGGGGGATAGAGCTTAAATCTTCACATTTGGTATAAGAATTAAGTTTGGGACATTTGGTATTGGGTGAACGGATAGTGTTTCAGTGTAGGATTGATATCTGAAATGTAGTGATAGGGCCACGCACAGGAAAATACGTACTAAAAATACGAAAAGTACTAAAGAGAAAGTACTGTGGAGACGTTGAAATACTTAGGATAGAAAAATTGGATGAGGATCCGTCGTGCAATGGTTTTACAAATTATCTCCTCGGTAAACTTCAAAATGAAAAATTTTCGAAAAACTTGAATAATATACAAGTAAAAAAGCTGTAAGCTCGGCCGGGCCGAACTTTTAATACCCTCCACCATTTGGTACAAATTTGGCAATTTCCAAAAAAATAAAATAAAAAAATCCTTTAAAAATTCTGTTAAAATCTTAAAAATGACGAATGTCTATACGACGACGTATACCTGCATAGGCAACTTTTGTCATAAGTTATTACAACATTTAAATGCGAAACTTGAAGAAAAATTTGTTTATAATGTAGCTAAAATCATCAAAATACCGAATATAGGGGGTACCGTTATATGGGGGCTATACGAAGACGTGGACCTGCACAGACAATTTTCTGGCATGGGCTGAAGTATCCATTACGAACTTCAAATGCGAAATTTAAAACAATCCCGGTAAATAATGTCGCTAAAATCATCAAAATACCGAATATCGGGGGGTACGGTATATGGGGGCTATACGAAGACGTGGACCTACATGGTCCATTTTCTGTTTTCTGCTTCAGTATCTATTACGAACGTCAAATACCAAATTTGGAACGGTTCCGTTAAATAATGTCGCTAAGATCATCAAAATACCGAATATCGGCGGGTACGGCCTGCACAGATAATTTTCTATCTTAGGCTGTAGTATCCATTACGAACTTCAAATGCCAAATTTGAAACAATTCCGGTGAATAATGTCGCTAAAATCATCAAAATACCGAATATCGATAGGTACCGTTATATGGGGGCTATATGAAAACTTGGACCTACATGACCCATTTAAGAACTTAACCTGCCTACTGGCAAAATATACATGTGTGCAAAATTTTAGCCTTCTATCTCAATTTGTTCGAAAGATAGCGTGATTACAACAGACAGACAGACAGACGGAGAGACAGACAGACGGACATGGCTAAATCGTCTTAGAATTTTACGCTGATCAAGAATATATATACTTTGTTGGGTCTGACGTGAGTATTTCGAGGAGTTACAAACGGAATGACAAAATTAATATACCCTCCATAGTATGGTGGAGGGTATAATAAAACCATGAAATTCTGAAAATTTAGTACAATGTATGAAGTATGAAAATAAAAACTTGGGAATAACCTCGCGACAAACCGCATTCCACTACTTATTATAATATAATGAATCCATCTCATCAGCCTTCATTTAATGGAACCTATAGATTTTAAGTATGTCTAAAACTTCGGATGCATTTTCCAAACGATGTACATTTGCTATGGAAGGCAATTAATTACAGTAATGGTATCAAATGTTATTTCGATTATATTTTTTTTAATAATATTTTTATGTACCAACAGATCCATAAACGATTTTTATACCCTCCACCATACTATGGAGGGTATATTAACTTTGTCATTCCGTTTGTAACTCCTCGAAATACTCATATCAGACCCAACAAGGTATATATATTCTTGATCAGCTTAAAATTCTAAGTCGATTTAGCGATGTCCGTCTGTATGTCTGTCTGTCTGTCTGTCTGTCCGTCTGTCTGTTGTAATCACGCTATCTTTCGAATGAATTGAGATAGATGGCTAAAATTTTGCACACATGTATATTTTGCCAGTAGGCAGGTTAAGTTCGTAAATGGGTCATGTAGGTCCAAGTTTTCATATAGCCCCCATATAACGGTACCTATCGATATTCGGTATTTTGATGATTTTAGCGACATTATTCACCGGAATTGTTTCAAATTTGGCATTTGAAGTTCAAAATGGATACTACACCATAAGACGGAAAATTGTCTGGGCAGGTCCACGTCTTCGTATAGCCCCCATATAACAGTACCTCCCTATATTCGGTATTTTGATGATTTTAGCAACATTATTCACAGGAATTGTTTCAAAATTGGTATTTGAAGTTCGTTATGGGAACTACAGTCTGTGACAGAAAATTGTCTGTGCGGGTCCAGGTCTTCGTATAGGCCCCATATATCAGTACCTCCCTATATTCGGTATTTTGACGATTTTAGGTACAATACCCACCGAAATTGTTTGAGATGTGGTATTTGAAGTTCGTAATGGATGCTACAGCCTGTTACAACCTTGTATACGATATTTTCATGATTTTAGCTACATTATTCACTGTTTATTTCAAGTTTCGAATTTGAATATGGTAATGGATTATGACAAACAATGCCTATGTATGTCCACGTCGTATAGACCCCAATATAACGGCTATATTCGGTATTTTTAAAATTTTAAAAGCATTTTTTAAGGATTTTATTTTTTAAAAATTTCCAAATTCGTTGCAAATGGTGGAGGGTATTAAAAGTTCGGCCTGGCCGAACTTACTGCTTTTTAACTTGTTAATTTTGCCTTACGGACTCCACTTATGTTAGTTTTAAAGAATTATTTCGAAGACTATATTAACATGAATTTTTTTAACTACTTTTAAGGATTTCAGCAACCTGTATTTTTAAGGACTCCAGCACACGTGGATTTTTTAACAATATTTTTAAGGCAACGTGGATTTTTAACAATATTTTTAAAGCAACGTGGATTTTTAACAATATTTGTAAGGCATCGTGGATTTTTAACAATACTTTTAACGACTCTAGCAACGTGTTTTTTAAATATTTTAAACATTTTTAAATATTTAATACGTGGATTTTTTAAAATATTTTTAAAGGATCCAGGAATGTGGATTTTTTAAAATATATATTTAAAAACTCCAGCAATGAGGATTTTTTTAAAAATATTTTTAAGAACTCCGGCAACATGCATTTTTTTAAAAATATTTTTAAGAACTCCGGCAACATGCATTTTTTTAAAAATATTTTTAAGAACTCCGGCAACATGCATTTTTTTAAAAATATTTTTAAGAACTTTAGCTACTAAATACTGGTTTTGGGCCTCAACCAATCACAACTTTAAAGAACTGCGCCAACGTAGATTTTTATGCCTGAATTTAACAGAATTTAATACTATTTTTACATGGCTAGAAATGTGATTGCCTGCAAGCTTTCTCAAAGCTTGTCTAGGACGAAAGGCAAGGACTAGAACCTAACTTACTTCATTGAAAAACAAAGAAACACCCTGTATTGCGAAAATTAAAAGCACTTTGCAGGTTGTTTGATAAAATTTGTACTACGAAAAGCGTAGATTCTAATCCTACATCATTAAAAAATGGAAACACGCCACAAAAAGAATGAAACCTGTTAATATTTGCCACAAAATTAAGTACAATGAGGACCTGTTTCTATATGGCAGAACGACAGTAAATTCGTGTGAAAATATGTGTGGTTCTCAAATCAAATTAAAATCAAAAATTTGAAAAACATTCAAGGATTGGGTGATTTTCTTTCGTTATACAGAAACCAAAACTAAATATTTTGATGGATTTCTGAAAATAAATGTAAATTCCCTTCGCTTTCGAATATATCACGTTTGTTTCATAAATATCTTCCAAACTTGCATTTTCATATCAATTGGAAATGCATGCCATCATTGTCTTCCCATATTTTAACTTTATTCCCAAACACAAATATCTCAAAGATAGTTCTCACTTTGCTCATCCGTAAGTTAATATCCGTTTGGTATTTGAAAAATCAAATTTCTTTTAAAATAATGCGTTTTTTCTGGTTACTGCTGCAAACTACAAGTACGTGAATTACTTAAAATCGTGCGTTCTTTGAATTTCAGAGAATTACTATGACAAAGACGAACATAGAAAAGCCACACACACAAGAGTTTTGTTCTAAAAAGTTTTTCCCATGGAGTGAAGATATGACACACACCGATGCAAAAGCGTGG